GAGAGAGAGAGAGAGAGAGAGAGAGAGAGAGAGAGAGAGAGAGAGAGAGAGAGAGAGAGCAAAACATTCGAAAGTCGAGCAAAGATGAGCACGTCCTTCTCTCTCAGCACTTGATCTGCCGCAGCATCGCCGAGGCGCGCCAGTGACTTGTTTCTTTAACGACCCTTTTTTTTGCTAGCAGCCAGTTGTTAATTTTTCCAAAAAGCTTTCTGTCGGGTACACTATCCAGCTTGAAAGATAATTAGTAGTTACAGATGGAACTTTGTTCATCTAGTTCCATCTGGATTCGAACTCGGGGGGTCTATATTTCAACAGTTTGTGGGTGTACCAATTGAGCTAGGCCTGTTTTCCTAATGCAAGTCCTTTCCATCAGAGTCCTGCAAGCGGCCACGGGTCGTCTAAACCTTTTCCCTATCATGAACTCAACTGCAGGGTAGGATTCGACCTTATCTACACCCTCTCTTGCACGACAAATTCTGCCTAACTGATTCTAAGTTCTAACACGATCTCCGGTGTGGGATTTCAATCCCCTACTAACTAGGTAGTAACAGCAAATGTCTGCAAGCAGAGCACTCCTATCTCACCCTGTTGACCACCTGCCTTTTTCGCTCCGCCGCGTACCACCTGCCTTTTTCGCTCCGCCGGGTTAGGTAGTTACACAATTAGATGCATTAGATGCATCCTTTCCTTTCAATATTCCCAACCTACCCTCCTTATCCATCATGCCCCCTCTTTGTCTAGCACAACTTGGTTGGCATTAACAGCGTGCACTGCTGCAACCTCTATCATGTCATGTATGAGCATGAATACCCTGTATCACCGCAGAGGGAGTATTTGGCGAAGGGGCCAACACAGCCTCTCTTGCCATTCGTTGTCTACGGGATATTTCATCCTGTATCACCCTATGACTATCAGACACCGTTAGATATGTTTCTTGAATACACGCCATTGAATCTGGTGGTGGGACGATATCAAACCTATGTACGGCTGACGTGAAGCTCAAGGGGCAGCTAAGACAATAGACGGACGAGTAAAGCTTCAGGGGCAGCGAAGACAATACAGAGTCAGACTCAGTGGACATTGAAGTGAGAACATGCCCGAGGTCACACATGGCAAAGAAGGGAGAAGGGGACATACAGGAGACAACAACACTGTTCCGTACGGACATGTCAACACATCGTCCAGACCAGGGAATTCCTAGGGTCTAGGGTTTAGGGTTTAATCAGGCGGCAGGCTGAGAGGGAAAACACTTGTCTGCTTTTGTGCAAGCCTCCCCGACCACTCTTAGTGTACGGATTATTTCATCATTTATCACCCTTACGACTATTGGATGCCGTAAGATGAGTTTCTTGATTACAAACTATAAAGCATGGCTACCATCCGGACATCCGTACATCCGGACAGGCGTCCAGACGGTCTGCTGTCCGGTGTCTGGACGCCGGACCGTAGGAGGCCCGTCCGGAAGGGGCCAAAACCCCGAAACTCAAAAAAAAAAAAAGGGCACCCTAGACCTGTTCCTGGGGTCCGGGGCGCCCCCTGAAAAATGTTTCCATGATTTTTGGGGCCGGCATCGGCAGTACAGGGCGGCCAGACCGACCCCTTTTCTATTTGCATCCTGGGCAGACTGTTGGAGGCAGAGCGCAGTTCCCCAGTGTCAAAGGGAAGAAAGGGCGGATCTAGGCACTTCAGAGTACTTTCTTGCCCACTCGCCGCCTCCACACACGCGCACACACACACACACAGAGGGAGAGGGAGGGAGAGCCCTCGTTACCGTTGTGGACTGGTGCGCACATGCAAGAGAGAGAGAGAGAGAGAGAGAGAGAGAGAGAGAGAGAGAGAGAGAGAGAGAGAGAGAGAGAGAGAGAGAGTTTGAACTC